AAGTGTTTGGGTTAGGTGAGAAGGATAAAAGAGCCACCACAACAGTAGACCGGAAGTCTGGATCCGCCAAGGCAGAGGTTGAATGAATTAGTGAAGAAGAGGAAAAAAGAGGAATAAGTTATGACGTGCAGTTTATGTTGCGATCAGAAAGAACTAGGTATTAATTTTAGTGTCTTTGGAAAGAGCTCGTTCCTTGGTTTCTGGAATAGTTTTCTGATCTAGAATCTAAGGTAATCTCTACCCGAAAATTGATTTCAAAATTGATCAAAAAGTATTATTTTCGGAACCCATAATTTTCTTTATATAAGTAATATGTTCGAGTTTCAAGTTAGAATTTTTGGAGGATGCTCAACGACAAATTTATTGAATTGCATTGTTTGATTTGGCAAATATATTCGAAATGAGGTGGAGCTTTGCATGCATTTTTTGGACTCATGGAAATAGTTGGTGTAAAAAGAGAATTAATTGAAGTTGGAGATCAGAACCAAGCCGAACAAGGACAGTTTCAGACTGAAGTTTTGGAGTCTCCGAAAGCTTATGGCTAACGGGAGGAGTTTGGACTTGTATATTCACAATGCATAGTAATTTGTCTCCTTAACTATTATATGTTGAGTTAAGTATGGTTTACTAGTGATAGGTTTGTTGAGAATGAGATAAGAAGTATAAGTAAACATGAGTATCTAAGTACAGTTTGATGTTGTCTTGAGAAAGTAATGATGTATTAAAATGTTATGAAAGTTTGGACTGTGAATGTGGACATGGCTAGCTCATTGTAGCCCAACAAAAGGTTTTATGTTATTGACACGACGACGTGTGTGAGTTATTTGCGGATGTGGACATGGTGAGCCCATTGCAAAGTTAATTGCAGATCTATGAGTGTGGACATGAAGAGCCCAGTGTAGCTCCTAAACTGCTCGACGAATTGAGGTAGCAGTACGACCCACACATAACGGGAGACTGGCTAGCCTAGTTATGTGTAATGTGAAGTGAAAAGTATGATGGACGTGAAGTATTAAGTTAAGTTGTGACGTGTTACAATGACTACGTTGTTTGTGTTTATGCATTCTAGGTTGTATGTTGCTTGTGGCATGTCCTATTTTAGTATATGCTTTTAATGTTATAAACTATTATCGTATTGTGGATCATTGTAGGTTGGTGTGACTGCTTTCCTCACTGAGTATTTATTACTCATCACTCTTTTTTCCCTTTTAGTGTGTGCAAGTGTGTTGCTTGCTCAATTAGTTAGGAGTGCGAGACTTAAATCTTAGAGTGATCAGGAACGGGTGTTACAATTAATGATATCAAATCATCCCCGATCGGTTAGCCAAGCAGACCCGGAAGACTGGTCTTAAGAGGATAGGAAAATGTTTAAAAACAAAAAAAGTTTTGGGAACGTTTCAAAGGGTTTGAAAAAATGTTTTTGGGGAAAAAGAAAAGTCATTTGAGCATATACCGTCTCGCGCTAAATTTGATTTGTCTATTTAAAAGTCTTTTTAGATTGAATGATTAAATGCTTTGATAATCTTGTGGGTTTTTTTGGCTAAGGGTTCCTTTGAAAGAGTGTGTCTAACACTTTGTTCAATTTCGAAGCTACCCTTAGTCTGTGTGATTCGTATTGGCAAGTGTTTGGGGTTTCCAAAGCAAGTCATCAAGAAGAAAAAGAAGAATGGAATTGCACTAGTAGCAATTGTGGAGGTCTTAGAGATTTACACGACGTTTGAATCAAACTTAGAAAAGTGGAGCTACACAGAAATTTTGTGGAAACTAAGATCGAAGCGGAATGAGGTGATCATGGACAATGTCAATAAATGATGTGTCGAGAGTACGAATTTATTAAAATTTTAGTAAGTTAAGCAAATATGGTCAGAAAATCGACGTGGATCTCGTCATTGTCATTAGGTTGTATTATGAAATTATGTTTACTATCACAATTTTTTTTCTTTTTATTATATGACGTAATTTCAGAGTTTTATATGTTTTGTCAATAACTAAAGACTTTAAATTTGAGGAGAAATATTTAATTTTCATTTTTTCTTACTATATATTAAAAGAAAAATCATTTCATCTATCACTGATATTAAAAGAAAAAAAGCCATTCACACCCATGGGAAAACGTACTAATCCCCCCCCCATAACTTTCATATAACTCTAGATAGTCCGAGAATTTTAATCTTGTACAATTTCTCCATCATATGGAATTTACATTTCAGTTTCTCCGCATAATAAAAGATGAGTTGCAATTTCTACACATAATAGAAGTTAAATTCCACTTTCCACACAGATCCGATTAATATCGGTTTACTGTTGACCAAAACCAACTTAACCACCTAAACATGAAACAAAACTGAGTTTAAACCGAATAAAAAACCTGATCACACCAAATTAACCCGACTGTGACCCGATTAAAATTAATACCCACCCAATTTTGTAGCCAAAACCAGAAATCTCGAAATCAGAAAATCTTTTAATCCTGAAAAACCCTGAAATTCTCCCAATCGAAAATTCCCAGAATCTAAACACTAAATTGCGAAAATCTAAAGTTGCTTGTATTGTTTTTTGGAAATCATTGGCAGTGGCAGCAATGTCGACATCGACGTGGATTCGAATGGAGAAGATCGAGACAACCCGTTTATTATTTATGTTTTATGTAGGTTTGATGTTGATTGTATAGGTTCTATTTATGCTTTGTGTGGTTTGATGATGATTGTATAGATTCTGTTAATGCTTTGTGTAGCTAACAACTCATTCCTTTTGTTCTTGGTATAACCTTCCCTTGGTCAATCTTCTCAAACTCAAGGCACTCTTACTCAAAACTTCTCTTGGTCAATCTTCTCAAGCTACTTAAATTAAACCTTTTCAAGGCATTCTCACTCAGTTTCTCTTGGTTAATCTTCTCAAGCTACTTAAATTAAAGCATTTCAAGGCACTCTCACTCAAAGCTAGTTGATGCAATTAGGACTTCTATTAGGAGTTTTTGGACTGCGTTAGATGCATTTTTGGACAGTTTTTAGTGCATTTAATGAAACATTGGCTATGGTGGCTTTGTATGACTTTGACATGACCTTATGTAATTGCATGAACTTTTGGTTTCTCAACTTGATTAACCTCTGTTTTCTCAATTTTATTTGTGTCTTATGTCTGATTTTTATATATGCTTGATTTCTGATTTTAACACATGGGACAAGTTAACAACCTGGAAACAAACACAAATTTTCATTAAGAAACCATGTATTATCTTAACAATACAAGAACAAACAATGCCACTCTTATAGGGCTAAGTTCTAACATTATAACAACGGTTCTATTTAACCCTTTCTCCATCATTTTCTTCTCTAACCTCTCGAAAATCTTGGGATTTCCTTTCCTTCTAAATGTCCCCAACATGATCCCCCAAGTTTTTGCAACCTTGTCCCTTGCAATTGCTCTCCTTCTCGTCTCCCTCATTCCCTTGTGACCATACTCTTCCAAAACCAACTTGCTAAAATATGGATAATACCTAAATGCCTTTATCTTCGAATTAGTTATCATGAATGCGTCTTTACGATCCTCAACTGTTGGAATCTTAGGTGTTATGCACCCGAGGACTTCACTAGCCGACAAAGGTTTTGACATAGGGATCAAAACACTAAACCCTTGCTTCTCTAAATCCGGTTTCACGGCTCTAATCGCCGAAGTAAACTGAATCGTACCCGTAAGAATTATGTTCTTGACATCACTTGAGAGATTAAGATGGATGGTGTTTAACAAACATTTCACATTGATCTAGATCTCGACAAAGACATAAAGGCAAGGGATTTTTGTAGAGTCAAAAGGAACAAGACAACTATGTCCATAATGAAAAAGCAAGTCAGCACCAAGCGCACAAGCCGAGAAATGTGAATATGTCAGAGAGTGTGAGAGCATATATAAGAAGACCTTCGGGAAGCTGCAAAGCAATGCGTTTAGCATTGATTGATTTGATCCCCCAAATGCATTTATGTACGTCAAACTGGTAAATCGAAGGCAACAATGAGATTGTAGCGTTAAGGGAGGCATCACCAAGGATTAAGATTGCAGCGTTAACACACTCGGATCCAGCAGCTACAAAAACACAATCCATCACCACAACTTTGAAATCGAAATCAATAATCTTAAACCTTCTATGCTTTCAATCAGCATATACAGTTGATATATCCATATCTTTACACCTTTTTGTACATATTTGCATACCATTATCCCTCATTCAGCATCATTCTGCATCATTTAAGATTCGTTTAGTCTTAGTTTAGCTAACATTTGCATCTTAGGGTTCTAGGTTAGTGTTTGTACATATTATTCTTCTTTTACCTTTTTTCAGGTGGTAGATGTGCCAAAATGGAGTTATCTACCTATCAAGAGCCTAGAAGATTCAAGAGGAGTGCATAGGTATGGAAGCAGAGACAAATTTGGGTTTGGAAGCTTGAAGATGGAAGCAGAGAAGCAGATATCGGTCGTCGCATATACCAGACATGACTGATATACCACACCTGGAACAGCGGGAAGATGAAGCCTCATCAGACGTACTGAAATTCGTGACTCGGGTCGAGAATCAGGTTATCGGTTGCCAGTGAAATCTAGCACACCGATATTCCAGGTTATCCCCTTGTCACGATGGAGCATCAAGACTCTCCAACCGTTGGATCATGCGCGGTATATCGAATGAACCTTATATTGAAGACATCGATATCCCCTGATATTGACACAAGCCGATGAAGAAGACCGATAGCCTACGCCTAACGAGGAACAATGTCGCGACACGACTGCTGGATAAAACACTAGAACGATACTGGATACCGCTCATTTTCCCGATGTAGGAGTGACTGATTCTTGTCGCATTTTGTTGACTTTTTTTGGGTCACCCGTTGATTGTCGCCAGATGATCCGGTTTCCTTTGGGTCGATCCGGGTACTGTTTTTACAGGCTATAAATATGTTTTGAGCCCCTAAAAAACCTAAGTTCTCAGCTCGCAACGTTTTTAGAAGCTTTCTTTTTACGTTTTTAGTTGTAATCACTCCTTAGATCATTAATTTCTTGATGTTCTAGGTACTTGTCTTTATAAAGTTTTAATCTTTTCCTTAAATTTTCAATCTTTGTGCTTAATTCGTTTTCTTTTATGCATTTACGTTTCACGCATCACCCTAGCTTGGTCATGGCTTGTTCCGTAGCCATAAGCGAGTAGCCTCCTTGTTGAGCTACGGGATGGTCGATTTAAGGGCTTTAAAAAGTGGCTAACATCGCTTCGGCTTATCCATGAAATGTTCTCAGGCTTAGGCTGAGCTTAAAACTTGGTTCTTGACTCGATTCTCGAACCTTGTTGATAGGTGTTCTCCTGCCTGAAAGGTGTTTGTGGGAATGCCCGAACGGCCTTTTCCTTGGCTTAGTAATCTTTGACTAAAAAAGTTGATGTCAAGGCGTAAAGTGAGCTTATTGGATTTGATCGGTTATGCTTGTTGAGCTACGAGTTAGTAGATTTAGGAGCTTTAGAAAGTGGCTAACATCGTTTCGGCTTATCCATGAAGTGTTCTTAGGCTTAGACTGAGCTTAAAGCTTGGTTCCTGACTCGTTTCTCGAACCTTGTTGATAGACGTTCCCCTGTCCACGAAAGTTGAATCCTTGCCCGAGTGTTATAAGTGTGGCCGTCGGGGCCATTACGCTCGAGCATGCCCCAACAGCAGACAGTCTAGGCATGTGCCTGACTACATTACTTGTTTTACATGTGGAGGAAAGGGACACTATGCNACTTCATGTCCNGTGACANATCCACCNGAGCAAACTTCACGACCNCCTGCNATACGCGCCATGGATGTACAACCAGCCATCGAACCGCCACCCAGGCGGCAATCGACCACGGAATGCGTTTACTCTTTAGATAAACCTGAAACTTCAAGACCTTCTCAATGTCCCATTTCAGATAAATAGGGGTTTTAACTTATGTGAATACTGTGTTAAAAAAAATATGGTAGTACCTGTTTAATGATTATCAATAAAGTATAAGTTTTATAAACAAAATCTTTTA